CGGGGAGGTCTCCAACGGCTTCTCCCAGCCGGGGTCTCGCCGGACCTGTGCGCAGCGTGGGGTCTCAGGCTCCCCTCCCGCCTTCATCCCCTCCCTCCCCACGTGGAAGTGCCTCACCCTCCTGAGTTTAGCCCGCCTGCGCCTCGATGTTTAAGAAGGGGAAGCCAAGGGCAGAAGCCGCCGTCTAGGGGGAACACCCGAGCTACCGGAGGTCGAGTGGAAGGGGATCCGAGCGACGGCTACCTCCGGGATCGCCTTCGGCACCTTGTGTTTTCCGGTTAATATTGCCGAGTGCACAGCGCTGTCTCTCACCCGGTCACTTGGCTCTGGTGTTAGTTTGTCACATTTCATCTGAGGACACAATCCCCTTACTCTTCAGGTTTAACAGGTGGGTCAATCTAGCCAGCCATCAACCTGAACTCCTGAATTTAAGATGTGATATTTCCCCTCACCCCCGCCCCCGCAGTAGTGGCTTCTCCCTGACAACTGTCTTTTCCCAACATTGTGGCCGCAAGCATCTCTGGCCCGTTCCTGTCTCGGAATGCCAGTCTCCTCCGCTGCCTTTCCTTGACTGCCGTGTGGGTTGAACTTATGTAGCTGCGACCATCTCAGATGGGCGGTGATCCATGCATCACTCACTGCAAACGATGGCAGGCTTTCTGCCACTAGAGCCGGGAATTGCGCGTTTTTTTTTTTTTTTCAATTCCACTAAACAAGTGGCCTGGCGCCACAGGAAACTTTCCAGCTTGAATCATTTAAAAATATAGAGAGATTCTATTTACAGAACCCCTACTGTTTCTCAGCATATTTAAACATTTCCGGGGCAAATAAGGAAACAAGGATAAATGAAAACCAGTAAATTATTCCAAGAGGCGTAATTAGTAATGCCATTGTGAAGTCAGACAACCTCGTTTGAAATCCAGCTCCCCATTTTATGGGATTGTATGTAACCTTGGCCAAATTTCTGTCCCTCTCTGATTTCTTTCCGCACAGTTATAATGTGAATGATAATACTATCTACTTCTAAGTGTAGTTTTGGATTAAGGTAAGTACACATAGAAAGCCCTTTTTTTTTTTTAAGTTGGGTCATAGAGTGAGCAAGTGGCATGGTGGTTAAGGTGCTAGGATTCCACATGGCCAACTGTGTTGAGTCCCGGACCTGTGCTGTCGGCTTGCCTTCTAACTTTCCATCTCTCTCTCTCTCTCTGTGTCTCTCTCTAGTGAGTGCACATGTCCTGTAGCATATTTAAAAATAATAATGATGATAAGTACAATTAATTTTTTTTAAGTTGGGTCATTATTCGAAGGTCTTTATATGACAAAAGTATCGATCTCCTGTATCAAAAATTTAAAACTGTTATGTGCTGAAAGGGAGTAAGGTTGACCTGAGTTTAACTCTTCCTTTCTCTATGTTTCTTTAAAGTTGACTTTCAGGAGTGATGTGTTCAAAGTCAGGAACCAATAAAATAAATAAATAAATAAATAAATAGAAGTAATGAAGTTGGGAAAAGTAAACTGATCCATACACTGAATGATGACCCGAAAGACACGCAGATACTTTTTCTGGGTTAACATTTTATCATTTCAGTGCTGTGGACCTAATCTACCTGCTTAATTCGAATTCCACAAATGGGTTACTCCACCTCTACTGTTTACTAGGCCACTCCCCTTATATCTTGGCAGCTAAAACTCTGGAAGGACAGAGGGGCCCAGTCCACATCCCCTCTGCTATGGAACCCAGATCATCTTGCCTCGACAGCCTGTGTCCTCTGTACCTTCTGTACCTGTATCCAGGAAGCCCCATCCACTGTTAATCATTTGTTTGGGATGATATAGTGAAAGAGAGAGACCAGGATCACGATTTAGTTTTGGAAAACAGTTGCTATCTAATCTACTCTCCACATCAAAGGTCAGGGGACAGGTGACTGAAAGTCTTTATTCCTAGTCCTACTTCATAGCTACTCCTTGGTTTATAACACCATTTATATAGGAGTCATTATTCAGCAAACACAAAAACAGAATCCCTGGCACAATGAAGACTTCACAGATGGATTTTACTTTATTACTTCAATGAAGCCTCATAAAATTCTCACAAGGCCAGTCTCTATTACAGCATCGCTTCCTCTCTTCTCTATCCTTTCTACGCACTAACACTGGGAGGATTTGACTTCTGCTCTCCCACCCCGGCTTGTGCCTCTCCCTTCTACCCCCTCCAGACCCAGTAACCTTGACATTGCTACACACACAACAGCCTCTCACCTTAAGATCCTAACTGGGGGGCCTGCAGGTGGTGTTAATGGTTAAGGCACTGGACTCCCACATGGCTGATCACGGTTCAAGTCACGGACCTGGCGGCTTGAAACTCATGCCGGGTGCATGTGTGTGTACATGCCCAAAATCCCAAGAGGAGAAAAGAGGAAAAGGGATTGCAGCATGGCCATCTTTGATCATCTTGCAAAAAGCCAGGACCAGAGGACCACAGAAGATACTCGTCAGTAATAGGAAGAAAGGACAGAAAATGATCTTTTCTCATTTCTTTTTCCTTTTGCTTAACTTGTTGGTTGAATCTTTTCCACTCTGGTGCTCCTGTCTGCAATCTCTCTTCAATCTATGTAATGTAATGTGGCAGATTTATCTTCCGGAAAACATAGTTCTTGCTGAGTTATTATCTTACAAGAAATCATGAAAATAGCTCCTATACATTGTGTTTGCTGAGTATCAGATGCTCTCCCAAAGCTACCTGCATTTTATTTCAGTCACCCAATGACCTCAACAGGTGTTACTTCCCCTATTTAAAAGACACAAAGCTAGGCATGGTGGTGCATGCCTATAGTCTCAGCTACTTGGGACATGGAAGCAGGAGGATCACAAGTTTGAAATCAGCCTGGGCAACATAACAAGACTGTCTAAAAAAAAAAGACATGGGAAAAAAAAGGCCAGTCAGAGGTGTGGTAGTTAAGGCAGCTGGATTTCATGTGACCAACTGCACAATTAAAATCCCAGACCTGGTGACATGAAAAACACCAGGTTCGTGTGTGTGTGTGTGTGTGTGTGTGTGCGCACGCGCACACGCGCGTGCCCAAAATCTCAAAAGGAGGTAGAAATGGAGGGGAAAGGTGCTTATGGTGAGGGAGGGTACTTTCTCACATCCCCACTCTCTCTCTCTCTACGGAGCACAAGTGGCAAATTTGGGGGAAAATAAGTGGGGGGCAGCAGGTGGCATAGTGATTAAGGCTCTGGACTCCCACATGGCCCACCATGGTTCAAGTCCCAAACCCAGAGGCTTAAAACTCACACGGGGCGTGTGTGTGTGTGTGTGTGTGTGTGTGTGCCCTAAATCCCAAGAGGAGAATGGAGAAGGGATTGCAGCATGGCTTTTCCCACAGAGGGTAATTTCTCACTTTCTCTCTCTCTGTCTCTCTGGTGAGCACACATGCCCTATAACAAAAATCTCTCTTAAAAACAAAACAAAATGGAAGTCATACAGCTAGAAAATGGGAAAGTCAAGTCTCAAACATTGGACTTCCTCTCAATCTTGCCTCATTGTCAGTCCAT